GGGTGATTCGCTGCCCGCGGGCACCTGCCCAAAACCCGGGCTCCGGGCCTTAAATGAAGCGTCCCCGCGGGGCCGGGGCTGGTGGGGACTCTTATTCTGACAGCGGTGCGGGCAGGAGGACAGGCAGGTCCCGCCGTGTCATCTGCTGGCAGCACGTTAGAGCCTCCGGTCTTATAACGCTACGCGGAGGGGCTACTATGACAGTCCGGGTCAGTGAATGACGGTCCCTTCCCAAAATACCGGTTAGAGCCCAGGTGACAACTTCTAGGCTGTAGGTAAGGCGCCGTGTTTGGTGTTTTTTTTTTCCACGTCACTTTTTACTTCGAAGCCGGTTAGGGAGCTGGCGTGGGAAACCGCAGCGTGCTGGGTAACGCTGAGGTGGAAGCGCGCCTTGCAGGTGCGGTGGTGTCAAAGGCAACGTGGGAGGCATCGAAGGAAACAAAAAGCGTTATTTTAAAAAGCAAAGTGTCTCTATTATTACTTACTCTTTTCGTCTTGTAAGGTCAAAAGTCTTTTCGGATTTATTTTATTTTTTTCACCCAAATCGAGGTGGAACGATTTGAGGAAAACAGAACTTATCCATTGCTGTGACAAGTGAACCTGTGCATACTTAAGAAGTGCAGTATTCTAGAAAACAAAGTAAATCTATTTCTCTACATAGCCTGTAGGTAAAATGAATGAATCTGTACACAGGCAATGATAGCAAAATGGTATAAAAACAAGTTTCAACGAGTTTTCTCCACCAGTAAATGAGAACATAGTGTGGACGTGCTCCAAAAATTTGAGCCAGCTTCAAATTCCAAGAGCATGCAAGGGGAAGGTTAGGGAATTTTTTACTAGAAAACCTCTGTTTACGTACAGTTAATTTACAACTGATACTGATAATTACCTTTAGGAAATGAAAGCTTTGAATCTTTAAAACAACAGCGATGTCTTCAGTTGATCTTCCCCCCACGGGAATTTATGACCTCATGGAGCCCTTCTTCGGGCTCTCCGATGAGAGGAATACAATATACTGCGTATATATAGCAGCGAAACAGCTGATCTCGGTGCGGCAAGATTACAATTTTTTCCAGCACATGTAACTGTGTGGATTTATATTCTCATTTTTTATTAGTAGCTTTATGTTTATTTTGGGGGGTTATTTATTTATCCTGGAGCTGAAGTTGTTTGTCAGTTTTAACAAACTTGCTCAGTTTGCTCTAATTAAACTTTCCTCTTTTGTAAGTTGATGGAAAGCCCACGTTTAGACATCAAGGACCTGCAAAATAAATGCAGGGCCTTTGAGCAGCTCGGCTTACCCTACTTTATCCTGCAGCTATGTCATTCGGCCAATTGTTAGCCCTAACAGCAAATCTCGGGAAATCACTTCAAACGGAGCAGCACAGTCCTTGGCATTCCAGTCCTAAATCTCAATTGGATATAAAGAGCTCTGAATTCAAAAAACATAAGAGAAGAAATCAGGATACTTGGTTTCAAAGGTTTAGTTTTAGGCTTAAAGAAAGTGGAACCTGTCTCATGCTTCCCTATGGTGTAAGGAATTTCTCGGCACAAATAGCCAATTCTCCGAGAAATAGTACATTTAGTATTTTGACTGGACCCAGAGGTCTTTCGTTAAGATGATATGTGGCAAACTACTTTGCTTAGCAGTAGTATCGACAGTATAGACTTAAGGCAGGTGGTGGGTTGTCTCAATATTGTCTCAATAGCCGTGGTGAGCACTGCACCTGAGTCAGATAGAGTGCGTGACTTGTTATTGGAATCCGAAGTGTTCATACAGTTCCGGAATAGTTCTCCTCAATCCTAAATCTCTTTATTTTAAGCTCAAGCTTTAACTGTCAGTTGCCTGAACTTCATACTCTTTGGATTGCTAATGACTGCTCACGACACAGCATTTTTGTGATTCAAATGGTGATGTACGATTTATTTTATCTGTATTGTCTTCCTTAAGGGAAAATCCACACCAAGAAAGCCTCTATTCTGCAAGGCAAGGGTTCCATTCTATCCAGGAGCCCAGCCAAGAAAGCTTTCGTGGCCTACCACCTAGTTTTTACCAGCCACCTATCCAAAGCCAATTATCACCAACAAAAACCCAGGACAGCCGTGAAACCTCTCCTATGAGTGTCCCTAATTTCCCATCCGTTTCCTCTATGTGCCAACCAACCATGTTTAACTACGAACGTCCAAAACACTTTATCCAGTCTAAGAAAGTGTGTCAAGGGCAACAGCAGCCTCCGGGACCCGCAGCTTCTACCGAGTCAAGCAGACAAATCAAACAGTCCTCCATCCTAATACAGCCTCGTAACCCAAGTGGGCAGAAATTCTCCTCCTCGTCATCACTGAGCTCTTCAATCACGCTCTCCTCGCCTTCCTGTAGTGCCCCTAAGGAATCCACATATCCCGTCACACCTGCATCTGCGCAGTCTCCTGCTAGCTCATCATCTGGGCAGCGGCTTATATCCATGCCTAACCAACCCCCCGCAGCATTCCTGTGCTCAGTGCTACCCTCGCAGCCCGACTATAGCCACACTCCTTCTCCTATGGAACCTCAGTAAGTATATACAGGCTTCTAACCTCCCCTTGCTTTCCTCTGGCCTGGCCTCTCCCGTGCTCTGACCATCCCAAATCCAGCCGTCTGGTGAAACGCCAGCTCGGCCGAAGCCAATGGTACAACTCCCATTGACTTCTGATGTTCGAGGCAGGACTCTGCATGAATTGGGTTAGGAGGCTGAGCGCTTGCCCTTGGTGTCTGTGTGGGAGAGATGGGTATCCACCAGGAATTAAACTGCACAGAAGTCATGTCACGGGCTGCTGTGCAGGTTTTCTGGGGTAGGTTGAACAGTTTAGTTTGGTTTGATGGAAATCTCTTGTTTAAGGGCATCCAGAACAGAAGACGGACACCCATCTCAAATTAATTTCTCTCAACAAACGTGGCTTATGAATGGGGGGCAGGGAGGAAGGCAGTAATATTTCCCCATATAAACAACATAAAGATTCCTAGTAAGTCTCAGCAGTATTTTCAGGTTCCACATCGTGATGGGACTCTACACTCACCTGCAATACAGTTTTCATTAGTCATATGTGCTAACAAAAAGGCTGCCACTTGAAAATTTTACACCTTCAGACTAAAGACCAAATTCTTTCCTGAATATGTATTATATCATTTTGCCTTTGGGCTGCAATCCAAATATCTCCCAAGGTCAGCGAGATCTCAAAGGGAGCTGGGTCTTGCCTTCTCACCAACTTGTATTCCTGCCAATATTAGCTGAAGGTCCTGGGGAGGGAAAGTCAGTGTAGAATATGCAACAAACACTCAACCGAGGATATTAGAAAGGTGATAGGGGCAGGGGGTCCTGCTGGCTTGGATATAAATTCAGGTTTAAGTGTCAGTTTGTATTCAGGAAATCTGAATGTTTCTGGGGTTTTTTTGAATCGCAGCACTGTGGGAAGCG